TGTTGTTTTACAAAGCTTTAAAGGCAGTAGAATTGTAGGTCACCAAACATGGGTAAAATCTGGTGGAAAATCAAAGCAGTACCTTCTTATAGGAGACCACATCACATATGGTCACCTGTGCTGAAGGAAAGCATAGACCCATGCAAATAGTAACCAATTATTTTCACTTTCTTTTGATGAAATAACATTTTATTTTCAGTGAAATCTTACATATGGAAATACTTTATTTTTAGTGATTTTCAAAGTGACTCAACTACTAAATTACTTTGATAGGAAATTTAAATATTGCAATTCATGTTCCCCTAACTTTCTAAATTGAAGATATTGGAAATAAATAAATGTTCTTTTGACAATGATTCAGGGCAATGACAGTTATGCAAATTGGCTATTTTATGTATTTAGGTGCATTTTTCCCTGTCCCAACTTTCTGGAGATTTAGATAGCTCGGCTATTTGAGGATTTTTTTTTTTTTTTAATTCTGGACTTTTCTGCCACCCTCAATTTTGTTTAAAATCTTTGTCTGCCTACCCTTTTCAAATTTGGTGTCTTCATTCTGCTCTCTTTCAGGTATGCCAAATGATTTCCTAACAAAAATGGTGATATAGTTTTAAGAAATATCCAATTTAGGCTGGTAAATTAAAGAACATTAATAAATGGATAATGTGATGCTTATAATTGATTTCTTAAAGGTGCTTTACTTACATTCAGTTGTTTTGTAAAAATGAGATTGTAAGTCACTGAATAAATATCAGCACTTAAATTATGTATTCCTGCCCATCTGTGGGTTCCTCAATATGCTGGGCACTATCAAAGCATAAACTAATGTGTTTTATTTACTCTGGCAGATCAGCAATTTTTGACTTCAAATCAGCAGGAACGTTTTTTAGTCAGAGAGATAAGATTACTGAGGTTCTGTTTTGTGGATTAGTCTTCCTAATGGAAAGGATTTTTATATTATCTGAGATTACAAAATGAAATTTAGTGCTATTTGAGCTTAGCAAAAACTATGGTACCCAATAAATGGGTCTGAACCCCAAATGCTTCATCTCTGTCTCTACTAACTTTCACAGTGTGTTGATTTCTCTGTGAGTATCACAAATGTTGTGTCCATCTGAACAATTCATTGAAAAACTTCACACTCTTCATGTGATGATGGTCCAATTTCTTGGGCATTATCAATGGGGCTGCATGGTGTTTCATTCTGGCAACTCTGATTCTCTTTCTCTTAGTGTATTAGCTAATTTCCTGAATTTAGAGATTTGGATCTCTTCTTGTTTTCTTGGAGATAACATCCCACCTAATTCATCCTTTAAATCGACATATATATTGAATACAATTAACATGCTGTAAAGTTATATAGTAAAAATATATTGCAACGAATTTCACAATTTTTATGTTGTGATCATGAAAAATATTTTGTTGTGAAAAATAAAAGCAAAGTAATGTATTCTTTTGTGTATGGAATTTTTTTCTTCATTAATATTTTTTTTAATTTTGGAAAAATAAAATTTAAAGCCATATCTTGGTCCTGATTCTTAATGTTTCTCTCTTCAATGTCATGAATTCAAATAATACTTTATATTATTCAAATGTCACAAAGAAAACTATAAATCTTGACTCTTTATGCAATATACGATTTTTATATTGAAGTTTAGGAAAAACAAATTTGGTGAACAATAAGACCTATAACTCTGATATAAATTTTTGAAAGAAATGTCAGTGAGACTTTATTTTGAAAGATGGATGGGAGTGCAGGTGCAGAGCAGATGTAATGATTTCTTGATGGCTAACGTGTTTCACCTGAATGTTAACACTACTTCTTGCTGTTTCTGTAAAAGAAAGATCTAAATTATAGTCAAAGATGGCCTATGGCCCTGCAATTTTATCAATCCAATTTCCCATGAAAGGGAAAATGTCCTGGCCTCCTCAGATTTTCCTTTCAGAAATTGGATGTAAGAGAATGAGTATCAGAAGGGATTAGAGCCATTTCTATAAGTTCTTTTCTATATTCATGATCTCTACAGAGACAACTTCATGTTCCACAGTCCCCAGTTTTAGAGAATGACAAGTATGCTGGCTGATTCATGGAGGTCGTAGAGAACCGAAATAGACCGTTCTCACAGCTAGATCTGAAGCCATGAGCTCATGATGTCAGAAGGTTCTATTAGCATATGCTCAGACAAAGAGGGTAAGATGTCTTATTTTAATAATACGAACAAAAAACTCCTTTATGGAAAGTTTGTGGTTTTTCTCAACGTGTAGTCATTAGAGCTTAAGCCTGGGAACCAAATGAAGTGACATTGACTTCAAGAGGAGTTTTCAGCATGGTTGGGTTTGGGTGGAATCCTGGCTCTGGGTTTCATTTGGAGTCTTTGTCCTTGAGGTTTTAAGAGGTCCTTGGTAAGGATGAAGTCATGTTATCCATGAGGGTGTCAGAAATGCAATCCACCAAGAGTATGAAATTCTGCTTTCGAAATCAGAAAATAAGCTTAATGTCCCTCTTTTATCTCTTTATTAGATACAATTTTGTAAGAAAATGGCTACTTCAAATCTCTCTTCAGGGACTGATTTTATCCTTGAAGGGTTAACAAAACTCCCAGAGCTCCAGTTGCCACTCTTCCTCCTGTTTCTTGGAATATATGTGGTCACAGTTGTGTGGAACCTGGGAATGATCCTGTTAATTGCCATTAGTTCTCAACTTCACTCTCCAATGTATTACTTTCTCAGTCATTTGTCCTTCATTGATCTCTGCTACTCCTCTGTCATTACCCCTAAGATGCTGGTGAACTTTGTATCAGAGAGGAACATCATCTCCTTTCCAGAGTGCATGACTCAGCTTTATATGTTCATTTCTTTGGCCATTGCAGAAGGTTATCTTCTAACAGCCATGGCATATGACCGTTATGTTGCTATCTGTAGCCCACTGCTTTACAACATTGTCATGTCCCACAAGGTCTGCTCCATCATGATGTCTGTGGTGTACTCGCTGGGTTTGTTTGGGGCCACAGTCCACACTTCCCGCATGTCAATGCTGTCCTTCTGTGGGTCTCATATTGTCAGTCATTACTTTTGTGATATTCTGCCCTTGCTGACTTTATCTTGCTCCAGCACCCATATCAATAAGATACTGCTGTTTATTATTGGAGGAGTTAATACACTAGGTCCTACTCTTGCCATTCTCATCTCTTATGCTTTCATCCTCTCTAGCATCCTCCATATTCGCTCCACTGAGGGCCGGTCCAAAGCCTTCGGCACCTGTAGCTCCCATCTCATGGCTGTGGGCATCTTTTTTGGGTCTATAACATTCATGTATTTCAAGCCTCCTTCCAGCAATACTATGGACCAGGAGAAGGTGTCCTCTGTGTTCTACACCACGGTGATTCCCATGCTGAACCCCCTCATCTACAGTCTCAGAAACAAGGATGTGAAGAATGCACTGAGAAGGGTGGTTGGGGGGAGGCAGTCATCCTGATGAAGTGGGTACTCATAGGGATCAAGAAGAAACGAACCAGATGAAATGGTGTCAGAGGATTTTTGACATTTCTTTCTGTTTTCCAAAGAGAAAGCCTTCTTATTTAAAAAATACAGTCTATGCTTGAAATGACTGAGATTTTTAATATTATTGAGCAATTCAGTTTTCTGATATTTTTCAAAGAAATAGGAGTTAGCAGTAGAGGGAAGACAAATAAACATTAAGATTTTTATGATTATAAAAACAATATTTTTTTTTCTGTTGGAAATCTGGATGGATGTAGTTCCTTGGGAAGGACAGTCTGAGATAAAATCATGTATCAGTGAGTTTATGTGCTAAATTAGTTGGTAATCCAGTTTCCATTGAATTCAAAGTACTACTTTCTATGTGGTGTTTTATCTAGCATGAAGAGGCATTGCACAGAAGTATCTGGCTTAGTCATCTTGAGGGAATAGTTAGTCTTTATCATGACATTTCTTTAAAAAGAGATTAAATTTGATTATACTATATAAATTTTTTTTCAGTTTAGACTCATTTTAACAAAATTGTCAAGCTGCAGACTATAGGACTTAAGTTAAACATTATAGAGACTGTAAGACAACAGTCCAGATGATCAACGGAAAATGTATTCTTCCTTTTAAGTGAGTGAAACATTTATTTCAGTGGTTAGTTTCAGTCTCCAGACAAGTGTGACTACAGGAGACCTTTTCATGTTTTACCACTCTATCCTTTTCTTACCTCTCACAATTCCATACTATAACCATGTTTGTGTTGGATGAGACCCTGTTCTGCCTCCAGTCTCAGCTGGTCAGTCTCTTGACCTGCACATGGCTTAAACCTATGTATGTGGAAGAGTAGAAAGCTCTTCCATGTAAGTAGCTAATAATGAATCATAGTCTTGGACTCATTAGATTCCAAAATAATCTGGCATAAAATTTTCCACCAATGTAGTGTCTCCAAACAAGATATTTATTCTCATACAATTCTAGAGGTCATATTTAAAAATAGTCTTAATAGCCCAAATCAAGGTTTCAGTTAGGCCTCATTTCTTCTATGTGGTATGTTTTAGATATGAGGTATCCCCACAAAGCTCATGTGTTAGACAATTCAATTTAGCAGAAGAGAAATGGTTGGGTTATGAGAACCTTAACCTAATCAGTGGATTACTCCACTGATGAGAATAAACTAGGTAGTAACTATAGGCAGGTAGGTTGTGACTGGAGAGATAGGTCACTGGGGGCATACCTTGGGATTTATATTTTGTCCCTGGTGAGCGGAGCTGTCAATCTCTGCTTCCTGATTGTCATGCTGCTTTCCTTGGCTAAGCCCTTCTACCATGATGTTCTGCCTCACCTTGGGCCCAGAGCTATGGAGTAGCCATCTGTTGACGCAGACCTCTGAAACTGTGAGCCAAAATAAACTTGTCCTCCTCTACATTGTTCCTGTCTGGTGTTTTGGTCACAGTAATGAAAAAGCTGTCAACATCATGGAGTATCCAGGGGAGAATCCATGCTTTTCCTTGTCTAGCTTCCTGGGGCTGCTGGCTGCCTTAGCTTGTATCTGTTCCACTCCAATTTCTGCTCTGTGGTCTCTACTATCTCTTATCAGGATACATTTAATTGCATGTAAGGCCCATCTGAATAACATCTGATGATCTCCCCATATCAGGATCCTTACATGTCACATGTGCAAAAAGTCTTTCTTTCCCTTGTTTTCCATATAAAGTAAAGCTCAAACATTCACAGGCATTGGGACACTGGCATGGATATCCTTAGGGAGACTTTTTTTTTTTTAGTCAACCAATGGGTCTTCAGGGACACAAGGACCTCTGAGATCAATTTAAAAGTTACATATTCTCTCTGGGATTTTTAGAGTATTGACTGGGCAGTATCACAGGAAAACAATTATAAAATTCTATTGGTCCTAAAACCACAAAGCATTACTTCAACTCTTTTAAGATAAATGTTCAAATGTTAAAAGGGAGCATGTGCTCAGTCCAAGTTATTATCAGTATCTGTGATTATATAAAAATGGTATCTTTCTTTGATTTATATTCTACATCTTAGAGACTAGTGGTTAAATACGTTCATAGCCCATCGATACCTGTCATTTATAACCAACACCAGTACCATGACCACTACAATGATTTCTCTTCTTTATGTTTTTGAAACTGTTTTTTCCCCTGATATTAACTAGAAGTGGAGACCTTTCTAAGTTTTCTGAACTTCTTTACTTTAGTCAAATACATTCTTACCTGGAGAAAGGCAGAATAGGTCCTATGTGCTTCCTGTGTGCTATTTTCAGGCAACAAATCTACCTTCATCATCATCTATACACAGAACGATTTTGTCCAGAAAACTATCCACATAAATGAGAGGAGAAAATAGTATTAATGGTAGAGTACTACTTCTGGGTTTTCTTTGGGGTAAATGTTGGAGTTTATTAAAGTACCTTAATTTCTATATTGTATGTGGTATTATATATTACATGTTTGTATAACTTCCATGTGAAAGCTGCAGATATGAAAATTAAAATTCAATAGATTTAACTTGACCACCAATCATAAGTATAAAACAAAGAGTATACATGAGTCTCCTATGTGTCCATCCAGGGTCCTTTCTATCTTTTCATCAAGAATAATTATTGGCATGAAATTCTGAATTAAACAACAATTGGACCATAAAGATTGCCTTTCTGCTTTTTGTGTAAATTTCCTTATCATAAAGTTATAGCACTAAGAAATTTTTAAATTATATATTGAATTCTGTCATTTTATACATGAATAATCTAAGTTTCAAAGTCTTGATGATTTTTTTTGATAAAATTAGTATTATATTTGTGAGGTGCATACACCAATATCTACTACATAGTAAGCATCTACATAATACTGCCAAAAGTAATAATATAAAGAACAATTATTATATTTTTGGGGGGGAGATTTGAACCTTTAACTACTAAGTAAGTTGAGTTCTGAGTCAATTATGTTAATATACATTTATGTGTAAAATTCATTAGAGATTCTTGGATGCTTTTTAATCAATTTCCTTAAAAAATGCAGTTCTTTGCTGAAATCCTGGTATTTGTGATTGGCAGGCACAAAATATCAGAAGGATATATTTCTCACTTGTCACAAATGGGAAGAACCTTAGGCAAGTGAAATGAGGAAAAGTCGATGAAAGCCACTAGAATCATTGAATGAAAGAAATTTCAGTCACAGGTGATATTATAGGAGGAGAGGCAGAATAGTGATTGGGTACTAATAATTAAAGTTTGATTCAAAGCGAAGGAGTCCATGGACAATTTTTCTAAGGGTCCTAGAAATTTTCTGAACCAAGCCCTTGGATGGGAAGAGAAATAGAATATTTTTTCCTATGTTCATCATTCTGTCCTATATTAACCACTCTAATTTTCAGAATTTGCATTTTCCAAGAGACCAAAATTTAAATAAGGAACTAAGTTTTCCTAATATATGGTTTGCTAACTAAATCATCCAGCCACAATACACAAATAAATAAGCAAACAACAAAATATATGATTATCTACATTGGCAACATATAAAATGAGAGAATATTTGGGATCTTAAAAACATTTTTAAAGGATAGCATCTTCAACAAATGGTGCTGGGAAAACTGGAAATCCAT